CCACCTCCTCCAGCCACTCCCTACCACTTCAGTTACCACTCAGTTAATCCCTACCAGGGGATTAAATCACTGATTGGGTTAAGACTCTTACAGCCCAATCCTTTCTCCTCCAAACCTTCTTGCATTGTCTCATGTGTGAGCTTTTAGGGGATACCTCACATCCAAACCATTATACACCCTCTGGCCAGAGCTTTTTTATTGTGGATAAAAAGGAAGTTTTTCAGTTCTCACTCCTTTCACTACCTTGTACCCCATCTTACCACATCCACTTGTTTGAAAAAATCCCCAGTTCTTTTGCTCTTTGCTTTTTCCTGGTGTCATGGAATTTTAATCCATAGGAGATATTTGCCATTTTGTTCATAAGTTGAGTCTGGGGATGGTTTTCTCATTATCAGCAGAATGTGTGTGAGTGGAAGAGAGGAGCAGTCGGATTCCCAAGGGTCACCATGTCTGCTCCCTGGTCTCTGATTTTGTGACACTTCTGACACATGTCCCCTTCTACCCTGCGCTTGGCTGGAAGTGACTGTGCCCTCCCCTTTATTGTGTGCAGTTGAATGAGAGTTTGACCCCAGTAGAGTTGGGATATACCTGTCTTTGAGTTTTAGAGTGCCTTCCAGCCCCCCATTCCTGTGATAAAGTGACCATGTTGGTCTCAAAGGGACCCTGTGGTCACCCAGCCACACAATGGGGCGCCACAAAAGATGCCCACAAAGTTGGACATCTTTTCCTCCACTGTTTGCCCTGCTTGACCGTCATGGTGAGGTGGGCTTCCAAACTTTGCCGAAAACATTTCCCAAGTCCTGATCTTTGAAAGGCATTCTCCTTCATTCGTATATCCCACAAATACTTATTGTTAATGATGTGCCAGCCACTGTCCTAAGTACTGGGGCTATGCCACGGAACAGCAATAACACAAAAAATGTCCCTGATTTCTTGGAGGCAGAAAACTGATGATGAGTAAGAGATATAAGATGTTAGTGTGATAAACCTCATGAGAGAAGTAAAACATTGAGTTAAGTAAGGAAGAATTTGAGGGTAGGACAAGAAGGGATGCTGGTGTGATACTAACTAGGGAGGTCAGACCTAATCAGTGCATTAATTCCCTGTTAGGGATTAAGTGGTTGGTAACTGAAGGCAGATAGGGTGTGGCTGTAGGAAGAGGGTCCCTGGAGCCCTGCCTTTGGGTTCCTATGAGCAGAATTCTCTCTCTGCTATCTGGTGCCATCTCCTGAACTGCTTCCCTCTGTTGTGTTCTTCCACCATGATATTCTCCTCACCTCTGTCTCAGAAGTATAGAGTCAGCTGACCATGGACTAAACCTCTGAAACTGTGAGCACTGAGTAAACTTTTCCTCCTCTAAAATAGTTCTTTGGTCACAGCAGCAAAAAAATTTGACCAAAACACTGAGAGACAGCAGTGGGGGAGAAGAGGATCTATGGAAACTGTAATTTTGTTAGGAATCTAAAAAGCTTTTTTAAATAGTCTGTTTTAAAAATCAGACATCATTCTGGTATTACTTAATTTTTATTGGAAAGGAAAAGATCAAAGCCTTTCATTTTGATTCTGTATTTCACTCCTGTGTTTCCCTCCCCTGGATGAGGATGGTATTATTGTTTGTTGTTTTTCAAAATAAGTACCCTGGACTGAGTAAGCGATAAGCAGGTTCAGCTCATAGTTTTCAAAACTATTTTAATGTTGATTGAGAATTTGAGACCTACCAGATTGAGGGGGGACTTGTTGTAACATTCAGGCAGAATTCTAACTCATACGGCATTTTACCCAGAGTATGCACAGAATTAGGTCCTGTCGTTAAAGACCTGTAGAGATTCTAACCCTGTAATCCTTCAAGGTATTTCCTATGAAATC